TTGACTTTGCTGGTAGAGTTTCAACGGATAACTAACCAATTAATTAATCATGTTCCTTTGTTTCCTGGAAGATCATAGATTTAAAGGTGTGTATAGGGGTGGGAATTTCTCCTAATCCCTGCCATGAGAGCAGAGAGGAGAGGAATATCCCTCCTCCTAAGGTTGGGATGAGGTTGTATTTTCCCATGAATTTATATGGGGAATTTTCCTACCTCACGAGGGTCTCATCCCCGTGAAAAAACAAAAAAAGAAAATATAAATTAATTGTATTTTAAATTTAATACACCTAATATATTAATACATTGAAAACTCAACTCAATTATTTACGTTAAATTGATCTTTATTTATATTTAGATAATTTATATTTGATTTTACTACTTATCCATTGACTTTAGTGATTACAACTAATTATATTTTTACAATTTACAAAGGTATTTTAGTTAGGGGGGTCGGCTTTTTAAGTCTTAAAATAATGTATTGTAATTTTGAAAACTTACTTTTATATCATATATTAAAATAATACTTGACAAATTTTCATGTCACAAAATCTATTTATAGTATTATTTATATTAAATAACTGAACTATTTCCTTTTCAATATAAACAATCAAAGAATTTGAAAGAGATTTATCCTCCATTTTGCTGCGAAGTCTTGTTTTCACAATTTTCATGGTAAAAAAATACTTTTTTTGTTATTGCTATAGAAATTGAAAGAGTAAACATCAAAGTAATTAACTTGTAAATGAAACTATAAACCTTTGATTTTCTTTTCTCCACAAGCTATTGACATAGTTTTAAAATAGGACAACATCATATCTCTTTACCCTACGACTTTTTACAAGCAAACAAATTTTTTTCCCCTTTTTACAAGCTAATAACATTTTATACGAGTTTATCTTTCTTTTATACTAATTTATGTTCCTATTGCTTTTTTCTATATGATTATATCCAAGGTTTTTTCCTTTTATTGAATTCATGTATATTCCTTTTATGGATTTGTACTTTCTTTTTTTTTTCAATTTTTTTACTCTGATCCAATTTTATTCCATATAACTTCAATATTACCATAATATTCAATTTTATTTGTAATCTCAACAACTCTAAATCCTAAAAGGAAATTATACAATTTTTTGTAAAAATAAAATATCAATAAGTTTTATTACTTAAATATTGTTCCCTCTATACTAGAATAATAGATTTTTTTTGTTTTATCTTCAAATGAAATATTTGAAAATAATTTTTATCTTTACTTATTTTATACTTAAAACATAACTTAGAATAAATATCTACTTCCATTAGAAAATAAATAATTAAAGTTAAGAGATAATTATATGATTAAAGTAGAAAAAAATTATTTATCTTCCTCAAAATAATAAAAAAAAGACTATTATCCTAAGATAAATTCTAAATAAAAAATATCAATTATTTTGGGATAGAAAGAGTATACTAATTTTTTTTATTAGAACATATCTACTAACAAGTATAAAACAAAATTTTAAAATAAAATTGAAAAAAAAAACTTATAAAACTTTAAAGTTGAAATCCAATATAACAATATATGATTCATATAAAAAGAGACAGTTTTAT